TATTTATTGCATTTTTTTAGCTGTGCTGGTTTTGTAAAAAAAATACTACAAATCAAAACTGGGAAAAAAGTGTTTTTTTTAAACGGTTTTTTCCTCTTTTTTTATATTTTATTTGTCCTAAGTGAGGCGTTAGACGCACATATGTGATATAAATATGTAGCCCTATCTGTCCTCTAAAAAACAATATATAATATGTGTGGGTGCACTTTGTAAGAAAGTATATTACTGACGTGGAAGAATCACACAGCAAAAATGTCAAAAGTGTGTCAGTCATTTACGAACAGAAACTAAAAACAAGCTCAGTCATGAAGGGGTTAAGTAAAATTCCTTTTTGTGCAGTTTTGGCCATAATGCCGAGTATTATCCCCCATTCACACTTGAAAGTGTTTTCAGGCAACACTGAATGCTCAGGTGTGAAAGGGCACCATGGAAATTAGTGGGCTTCCTCATGTTGATTTCAGTCACACTTCAGGAAACAAAAACGAGACAAAATGCTTAGGTGCGAATGGGGCTTACTGAGGAGCGTGCTCCAATCTCTAAGGCCCCATTAACACGGAGCTTAATGCTGGGGCATGGGATTCATTTGGCAAGAACCTACAGATTCTTAATGCCGGAATCTCAGGTGTGTCCGTGCAGATGTGGCTGCTGTACACATTGAAGTTAATGACAGGGTGATTGTCATCAACTATCCCAAACCGCATGTAAAGGTACCATGTACAATTACATGCGGACTGCCATTTACAGATGCGGCCGCTTTCACCGTCATTAACGTCAATGGGTACAGCGGCCAGATTTGAACAGTGACACCTGGGAATTCTACCACAAGAATCCCCAAATGCAGCAAAGCCCCCAAGTGAATGGGGCCTTTGAACTGCAGCTCTTCTTTTGCCAGGTTTAAACAAGTAATACAAGGTATTATTCCTAAGAATGTGGCACTGGAGAATGCACTCTAAACTCAACAGAAAGTTATTTCTGCAAAACAGACTGACAGGTTATGGTATAAAATATGATCAATTTTTCTACAAGCTACATTTCATTGTACTTAGCACAAACAAGTACATTAGTAATAATGCCTAAAGTGTTACATTTGCTGAAAATTATTAGAAGATTTTGCTGACCCCCTGCCACTCTGCATCAAATTGTTGCAGTTGGGGCAATGTGTATGTGTAAATCAATAAATATGTCCATCAACAAGAGATGCTAAGCGCTGCATACATTTGATTCCACTATGGTCGAGCAAGAACAGGGGAAACCTTAAAGTAATGATCACTAAGTGTTAAGCTGAAATTTGCTGTGCTCCAAAGTATTCATCTGAGACACATGAACACGCAAAATCTTACAAGTGTATAAGCACTTGCTAATGCTGGGTGGCCCTATAACAATTCATATCTAAACAGGCCACAATGATAGGTCTAGGCAAACCTGTACTGGCAAGAAAGTGATACACCACATAAATGTGATAAGCATTTAATTGCAACTAATATGGAAAGCATCTGAGGGGCCGCAAAACCCAGTATGTTCTTATATGGAAATATCGATGAGCCAATAAGTTGGTGTCTGGCCTATACATCTTTCTTATTGGTTTAACTCTGATCTGATGGACTGCCTCATTGATCAGTGGGGAGGGAACAGGGACAGAGACCAGTGGCAACATTCTAGATGGAGTCAAGATTCACATGTTAAAACTTTCTGAATTTGGGGCTCCCAAAACGTGTGAGAAAAAAAAAAGAGGTTACTGCACAGAGACCCCTATTACATGTTAGTGGCAGAATACTTATATTTGTACCATCGCAACAGTGATGATACAAATATAAGTATTCTGCCACTAACATGTAACAGGGGTCTGTGTGCAGTACTCACTTGCTTCATATAGCTAATGTAATGTTATGCACTGCTGAAATTTATTGACCAAAATTCCAAACTCTGAATAGTAGCTGCATTTTTAGCCTTTGGACTGGCTAAAAATGCTTCCTGTTAATAGTCAGCATATCTATCTAATTGCATGCTGCATCATAGCTTTTACAAAGTTTTTTATCACTGGATTTAAAGTCCATTAAATACAATAAAAAAGATTAGTTGTGAAAACCCTGTTCATTGTTATAATTCACGTAAGACTGCTAGGTGATTGAGTCCTTTAAAAAACACACAGTGAGCTAAGAAATGCCATATAAGATACAATCTGTTCTCAACAAGGCCGAGATCAGAGCTCAATTATTTTTCACCTGCTTGTCACCTATATAAATAGCTTCTTGTGTTGCTGTCTGGAATGGCTGCAGGGAATTAGATGGTGATCCATAGCTTCAAAGCAAGAAAGTAAAATATACTGTAATATCTATGTATAATGCACACCTAAGCATTTTTTAGGTCTAAGATGTGCAACTAAAGACACACATGTAGCTTAAAATATTTTCTACAGCTTTCTGAAAGGTTATAAAACCTGTGTACACATTAAAGTAAATATTTGAATATATTTTTACATATCTCCAAAGAAAATTACTGTAAGATTTTGAAATTTGTTTCTGGATAAAAAAAATGTTGTGGACTCATTATACAGAAAGCTGCAACCACATGACTTACCCTAGACTTGGTCTGCGTGTAATTCATTTGAATACTTGTGACTTTATACCCAAATCAAAATTAATTGTTCAAAAATACTTGGCAAATAGTTGTTTTGAAAGTAGAGTATTAACTTTCTTACTCAAGGCGCGCAAGACATCTAGAACACACACCGTGTTTTGGTGTTCAGCCAATGTACCCAATACCTTTTGTCTGTCTCTGAAAACTGATCCCAAATGTATGCATGCTAAAAGTCACCTGGGGCTGGTCCAATTTTTAGAGAGACAATGCTGAAACAGATGTACTTGGAACATCCTCTGAAGTGAAAAGCGGATATCAAAGAAGTGGACTCCTTTCTCATGCACACCACACACTGCCATCATTAAAAAGGATAACAGAGATAAAGCTTTCTTAAGTCCCCGTTCACAGCATCGTGAATGCACTGCAAACTCGGGAAAAACACAGAATGCGCCAAAAAACATGGAATGTGCTTGTGGTCCTAGTACATGTTAATGGCATGCAAAACGTGGCTGAGCAAATGTGTTTTTTTTCTGTGCATGAAGATGCTCCGAAAAGAAATGCGGGGCATGTGTAGCAGACTTATTTTGCTTCAAGCATGACTTTCCTGCATTTGGTGCACATGCATTTAAATCAAAAGGGGACATGCAGCAAACGCAGAAAACAAATGCCCACAAATGCTACCAGATAGTATGAACAGGGACTTAAGGGAGATTTTGGTACTTCAATTTAAAAGTAAAAGAAAATGGTCTGTTTCCAATGTCAGTAGTCACCTGCCTGCTTCTGCTTTACATATTGTCAGAACTCAATGGAAAATAAAATAAAGATGTTCATATGGACAACATAGTCAACTCTTTCAGAAACTGACAGTGATAACACCGCACACTACTTTATAAGTAGAGGTGCACCGAAAATTAAATTTTGAAACTGAAAATAAAAAAACATTTTTCTAACCTTTTTATATTTTATTAAAATGTTTTTCTTTTAACTTTACTGTCGGGGGCTTCAGTGAAATATCAGGGGTCTAGCCCTGATATTTCCCTTTTATAATAAAAAAAGAGATTAAAAGGAGAACTATTGGGTTAGGGCTTTTCCCCATAGTTCTCCTTAGGGTAACAGGAGGACACAAACTAGTGTCCTCCCGTCACTCTAAGCTCAGTATACCGCGAGCTACAGCTCACGGTATACTAAGACGCCGCAGCTGAAGCGGATCCCGACAATTATGTCTGGACCCGCCCAGCTGCATGAGGGGCAGCTGGATCTGCCTATCTAGAGACAGAGCCAGCTGTACCCGCCCCCTCCCCCGTCCGTTCTGCCAGTCAGCGCTGGCGGATCAGAGCGGGGAGGGGGGAATCCAGCCCCTCCCGTCACGGCAGTGAGCCGTGACAGGATCGAGAAGTGAGCGAACGCCAGTATGTGTTTGCTCACTTCCCGATCTACTGAGCCGACCTGTGACAGTCTCATTGTCACAGGTCGGCTAGAACTATAAGGTGAGTGAAAAGCACTCGCCTCATAGTTCTCCTTTAAGGACACAGAGTCCTCCATCTCTTTTTCTGCATCCCCTGTTATAAACGAACAGGAATCCTCTATACTGAGTGTTCTTTTTCATTCATAACTTGTGCAGAGAGTATGTTTGCTATATCCACAATCATGAATCAACAGGAAGTGATGTAGAGCACTTCCTGTTCATTCATAATTGGGAACACAGTAAACATGCCCTCAATAGTATCTGATCTCTGACTGCTTGTACCCGCTTCCTACTGACTCGGTCACAGGAGGCTGTGCAGGCAGCGCGGGGAGAGCTTGGTCTCATTTGACAGCTGTCTGCTCCCCCGCACCGCCGGCTCGGCCTCCTGTGACAGCTGTCTCCGCCCTCACACCGCTCTCCATCCTGATCTGTCACAGGAGGCTGAGCAGTGCGGTGTGGGAGGAGAGCTCAGTCTCCTGCGACAACAATTATACTGCTCTCCACCCCGCCCGCTGACAGTTTCTCTCCTACCCGCTGGATGCTGCACCAGAGGGGACACAGAGCAGCACACAGCGGTGGAGGATAGAAACTAGGAATGCACTGCAATTTTTTCTGAAAGATGGCACTTTCGCCATTTTGCCAAAAATGCAATTTTCAGGCGTCGTTTTTTGCCAGACGAAATTTCGGTGCATCCCTACTTGTAAGCTAATGTCTTGACAAATAATCTGCCGACTCTCTATTGGAAGCCAATTATCATCTTCAATCCTGATGGCCTTCCCACTTAGAACCTGTGTTTTGCAAATTGCATTCACGTTGTATGAGATGGTGAGAATGTGGCACTGATGACTGCATGGCTTTAATTTAGTGTTTAAATAATTTACACTGCGCATAATTATTGCATCACAACAATACAATAAAGACATTCAAAAGACATTCATTATGTATGGTTCAATCTTACCTGAGTTACAAGGAAATCAGTTTTTTACAGAGAGCAGTGGCAGGTGGTGGGTTTCATGCCTGAAATGCATTTGGCGTCATTCTATGGGATCCTTAGATCTCTGTGAAAACAAGAGAAGAAATTGTTGTTACATCCCCATGCTACAGACATTAACATTTAAAGTCCATATCCACACAAAACATTTATTTTTTCAGTTTTAGATATAGCACATAGTGGGTTAGACCCCTCAAAAGGTTGCTATTGCTACTAAATGGATCTGGGTTATTAGTCCAACTACCCTGTTCATGAGGGCTACAACAATACAGTAAAAATACAACAAGGTGATATATTATAGATATAGTTTCACATTGGATATAGATAAAATAACTAATAAAATTCAAAACAACCTAAAAACAGACAAACTTAAAACAAGAAAAAAAAATAAAAAAAAGTTTTCTAAAAAATCAATCATTTTGTAATAATTGTTTAGCATTTTTATTACTATTTTAGTATCAGATTTCTGTTAATGTTATTACTTTCATAATTATATAGCACACTTAATAGGCATTATGAACATGTTTATATCACTTATGTTCAGCAGCTCCAGGCCTGTCCAGGCCATTTTTCAGTATTCAGCGCTGCAGTACTTTGGCTGACGTTTATTTCTGTCATGTAACGCTATACTTATATTTAAATTTTAGACCATTTTTTGGGGACAGATAGAGCTTTCTTTTGGTGGTATTTAATCACCGCTGGGGTTTTATTTTTTACCATATAACAAAAAATGTACTGAATATTTAAAAAAAAAAAATGGTTATCCCTTTATTATTTTAGGAAACATTTATTTTTACCAAATTTTTTGGTAAAATATAAAAGTCGGGGTCACGTCGGGTAAATAGACACCAAATATGTCAAGCCTTTTTTTGTTTTGTGTGTGTAAATCTTTATTTTGTGAGCAATTTTTTTTTACACTTAACTTTATTGTTATTACATAGGGTGCTAAGAAGTACCCTATGTGATAACAAATTACAGTTACAGGTCCCCTTTACGGAGACATAAGGGGTCTCTAAGATCCCTGTCACCTACGGACCTCCAGAGAAGCTGATAAAGCACAAATCTGCTTCATCAGCTCCTCTCCGGTTTCTGTACCAGAGAGTGACAGAGGAATGAGGAAGTGATGTAATATACATCACTTCCTGCATTCAGAGACCGGAGGGAGATCGCGTACTTATCTCCCTCCGTTCTCGGTGCACAGAGCCACATCACCCGGGATGGATGGACACCCGGGATCGCGGCGGCAGGGACAGCGACAAGAGGTAAGGAGGGGGGGGGCTCACCCTCACTTGCATCATACAAGCGATTGGGCATCTCTACAGACGCCGCACCGCCTGTATGTAAACGGGCATCGCTGGCCGTTTAAAATCTAGGCGGTTTCCCGGGCGCGAAGGACGTCGAACGTCCGACGGCCACCCACATCCAGGAGACTCCCGTCCGGCCGTCTTTCGACGTTCGGCGGACGGGAGGTGGTTAAAATTGTTTAGTTGTTTAAAATCAGGTTTTTACAGTTATTGTAGCCCTGATCTGGAGGAGGGGGGGTTGTTCCCCGAAAGGTCATTTTCATATAAGTCTTCTACTTTATTGCACATTGCAATTTATCTGGACTAACAAACATGGTGTGGTAGTTTAAGTTCTATTTAGCTGCATTACAAAGCAAGAAAACTGGAGATCCTTTGCTGTGTAAAAGCCACCAGCCCAGCATTCAGACACTTTGTGAAAACCTAGGGTTCCAGCACTAACTATCCATTCCGCCAGGATTTTACTGCTGTCTGTGTCCTTGCAAGGAAGGTTCACCCTCTCTTTCTGTCCTGGTGACCATTGTCATTGGGATAGAAAGATGGGAAATTAAGCATTTTACAATCATCACCAGAGCAAAATGCTTGGGGAAATCTTCCAATAGGGACATCTGTTCCTGTGACAAGTAAGAGGAAAATCATCTTCAATCTGTAGAGATTTTCTCTCACTTTCCTGTTGTGTCTCTGGGACAAAAAGTGAAGGAAAATCTCCCCAATGAGACAAAACAGCAAAAAAAAATAAACTCCGAGGTATATTAATCGTTCCCTACTCCCCAAAGCTAAAAATACATGTTTTGGCTATAGATACACTAGACAACAACAGAAAGACATGACACTCACCGCTAAAAAAAAAATCTGTCATTGTCCTTAGTGGTGAGACAAGTTGTTTTACATGCTGGTTTGTGAGTGTGCCATGATGCCTTTCTACTGTTCTACTATCCAGCTTCAGACGCAGATCTGTGCTTCATCAGCTTCTTCAGGGGGGTCCCAGGTGACATTAGGGGTCTTGGAGACCCCTGATGTCTCCATAAAAAGGACCCGTCACATCTTTTGCTATCACATAGAGGGGTTTCTTAGCCCCCTATGTGATAGCAATAGAGTTAAGTGGGAAAAAAAATAGGAATAAAAATTAAAGTTTCCAAAATAAAATTAAAGTCACACATAAAAAAGAACATTTTTTTTTCAAAGCCCCCACCCATGCAAACATGCATCAGGTGTGCATGTTTGCGATAATTTTAGGGCCATCAATCACTGATAACACTAGTAGTTTTTTTGCGATTTCCGAGGGTGCACGCAATTTTTAAGCATGACATGTTTGGTGTCTATTTACCCGACATGACCCCGTCTTTTATATTTTACCAAAAAATTGGGTAATAATAATTGTTTCCTAACAGAAGTTTAAGTACATTTTATGAAATCTAGAAAAAATAAAAACCCCAGTGGTGATTAAATACCACCAAAAGAAAGCTCTATCTGTCCCCAAAAAAATGGTATAAAATTCATTTCAGTACAGCGTTGCATGACGGAATAAATGTCAAAGTACCGCAGCACTAAATACTGAAAAATGGCCTGGCCAGGAAGGGGGTATAAACACCTGGTCTTGAAGTGGTTAAGATGTCTACTGGGTACCAAAAGCTCCAGAGTCTTTTTGTGTGGCAAGCAGCATATTGTTCCCCTAAGATTAGGGTGGTGTCAGAGGAGTCACAGTACATACAGACATGCTGGTTTTCAGGATACAAGTGTATAGGTCTATTTCCTTGTTGCGGGAGGGAGAAATGTTACTATGATTGGACTGAAACGTTAATAAAATGGAGAATACCACCTGTCACATTGTCAGAATACTGCAACATGTTTGACCAGACATACTCCAGAACACGTCTCCTGTCCCAGAAAGCTGTTCATCTCCATCCTCCAGCAGAATATCTCACCGTACCCTACATCTAATACTGCCAGTCTGTTAGGTATTACAGGTGTGGATGGTGGACAGAGGTGTTTAACCACCATCTCCTGTTCATGGGTGGAGAGGGTGCTTACTGGCAGGCAGTGGGATGCCAGTGGTTATAACCATCAAGAATAATTATTATTCTGTGTGTGTGGTCCTCAGAGTATTCATCCGTAGAAAATACTGCAGGGAGAATAATGTTGTTGTGGCTATCTGGGCACAATAGAAATAAAGCTGTTGACCTATGAGCGGTGTGTGATAATGCCACTCACTACTTGACTATAGTGAAGATAATGCCATTTGCTCTGCTACGGTGGTCATAATTAAAATTATATAGTGAGAGATGCCTCATCATTTTTTTTAAGGCCCATGCAAGATCCTTTCTGTCACCTTAGCCAGCAACATATTTCTATTCATGCCAACCTATAGAATCACTTCACAAACCAAATATATACTGCATCTTCACTGCTTCCTCATTGATGACAGAGTTCTCGTATCATGTCATGCAATACAGCAAATCCACTGAGATAATGCAAGTTTCATTTCAGTGGTTCTGCTGCTGGTTAAGTGTTGTTGGTGGCATATTCACCCTGATCCCATAGTCCTGTGGATTATTGCCATAAAAGACAAACAAAATGCTACAGAAAGGCTAGAAAACCGAATTTTTAGACCGCCAGTGTTTGCTTTACTTGACAGGCCTTAAAAACCGTTCCATTGTCACTAGCATTTTTGTTTAGATGTATTCCACGATTTCACTAGAGTAACAGCCAGGGTTTCTCTTACCCTTCCTTGTCCTGTAAAGGTGCCCATACACTCTCCATTGGGGAATTGAACACGAAAGTGGTTTTGTGCGATAATCGATCAGTTAATGGGAATTCGACGATTTTAATTACTGTACTCCTGGCTGAATTTCCTCGATCAGTCAGACCGAAAAAAAAAAATTGAATCGTGCAAAAACCAATGGATTAGTGGCGTTTTTGTACAAAAAAATTGGCGAGTTAGTATTGGTAAGGAAAAATTATCCAAATCGACATTGGTCTGTGCTTGATGGGCTATTTGAGCCGGAATCAAATGAGAGTTCTTGGCAGCAACGAAAATTTCTGATCGAAAATCTATAGGTGTATGGCCAGCTTTAAGCTGCAGCCTATCAGTGCGTCTGACACTGTTCATTCCTCTTTGGCGCCCTCCTATCACCACACCTGTAAACCATATTCTGCAGCTACTAGCAAATTCTTGACAACTTCCGGTCTCAGAGTGATGATGCAACACCAGTTCAATATTTAACCACCAGCTTGTCTATTTAGTCTTGCGTTTGTTCAGATCTACCAAGTGCTCTGCAGTTCCTGTTCACCATGTATGACTTTTGCTCTGGCTGACTGATCTCCTGGCTGCTGACTCTGGCTATTGTTTCCATTCATCCTGCTCTCAGTATTCCCTGACCTGGTTTGGTTTACCCCCCACTTTGGCATCTGACCGTTTGCTTGGCAACGACAACGTCCTGGACTTTCTCCATTGTTTTTTTGCCATATTGTTTATTGTTATTTTCAATAAACTTTTATTTTTTTTAAACATGTACTTTAAGTTTCTGTCCGGTTTCTTGGTCCCCTGACAAATAGTCAGTGGATAAAACTGGAGTACACTGAATCTGATTTCGCAAACAAGAGTAAACATTATGATTGAAAGTTCTTTAAACCCTGTAGTCAGGAATGTAAACTATGTGAACTGGAGTTAATGTATCACTGCCTTTTAGGCATTTAAATAATATCACATCTAGCACAATCAAGGCGATTCATCCACATTTAATGATAGTGAATACACCAAGCTATG